GATTTTAGGCCGATCCAGAAGTCGAAATTTGCGTTTTTTCTGAGCCGCGCTGCTTCAACACAGGTAAGTATAGTTAAATATCAACCATACCACAGTATTTAGGTACATTTGACGTGCTTTGCAACAAAATTTCGTAACGATTGGATAAAAATTAGATAAACCAGGCAAAATCAAAGACAACCTACCGCGTCGCTGGTCAAAAGGAACCGAAATTTAATTAAAAGCAAGAGTCGAAATCTCAAAAGTGGCACCTAAACTAGGGCTAAAATGCCCTTTAAAGCAAAGATGTAACCTTATTCTCACAGATTCTGAAGTTAAACCTGCGGGTATCGTCCTGTGTTGGACGCGAGCGAACGTTTTTTAGAGCTTATGTACAACAATGTTTACTACAAAAGTACAAAGGTCACGGCTAGGATGGATGGTGCCCAAACGCAAATAATCGAATAAGAATGGTATTTTAGCAGTCCACAAGTACCTTAAATATTCCGAATACCTCATGTATTTATCCTAAGTGCCCTTTACTTGGGATTTTTATCAATCTAACGGTTGACAGTGGTAAATATATGCCTGATTCCCTTCTTTGTGGATTACCAGTTCAAATTAAATTTCGCACGCGACTACATGTAATCGATTTCAGCCGACAAACTTCACAGTAATAAAATACATTATTCTGAGTATAAAGATAGAAGTACATAAGCACTTATTAAAAGTCACTGGTAGAATATCCTGCTCGCTTTGCAACGGACTTTTTGGTCCAGTCAAGACAAGTAGCTTCAAGTTATTTAGCAGGTGCCTGAAATGTTACAATTCCAACGTCAGACTAGCTGGTACTTACCATCTAACCGGATTGCTATGATGATCTTCCACTATAGTTTGCAGATCGGGTCTTTTACGTAAACAAGTTGCCATTTTCAAAATCAAATTGGCTTCTGCTGCCTCTCAGTCCGCCAAGAACGGTGTAGCGAAATAATATGCTAATTAGCGACTTTCTTATGAGAGATCATATTACAGATGTCACGCAAAGTGGATTTGGTGCGCGCGATGGTAAAATATACGAGTGGCAAAGCCACGAAAATTGCAGTTAATATCAATCCAAACTGTTTCCTTTCTTATAGACAAACCCATCCGCCAAGGATCGCCAAGAGAAATAGTAAATAATATGCTAATTAGCAACTTTCTTATGAGAGATTATATTACAGATATCACGCAAGGTCATAACTTGCACCCACGAGTAACGGTTTTTGTGCACGCATTTTCACTTAAAGTGGATAATTTGAACATCAAAATTATGCAATAAAAAATATAGGTCACCGTGCTCGTTTACGAGAAAACGATTATTTACCTCCCTGGCGAGCATAGCCACAAAGAAAAAGCCGCCATGGTTTTAATGTGCGCGCGCTATAAATTACGCGCGAAATTATGTGCATTAAGGATGCGCCGTGCATTACTAAATAATCACCTTAAATAGGTCGTTTACTGTCCGTCTGTTCCTACTCGTTTAACGGATAAGCGTTAGTGTACGTTCGTTTTACCCCCCTTTTTGTGGGGGAATGGGGTGTCCAACGAAATAAAGGAAAAAACTCTTAGAAGTGTCAAAAAACTTTTAAAGCACAAACGTTTCGGGCTTAGCCCTTCTTTAGTGTGATGATGAAATACAATGTACTGTAAGCGCGCACACGTAGAATGCGCGCGCAAGAAACACAGTAAAAAAACTCCCATGTAAGCGCGTGCATGTGGAATGCGCGCATAGGAAAACACAGAGAGTCAACGAAAACTGAAACTAATGTTCAGTTCGCTTGGCCTGAGGGTACCAAGCACAAATATCAGCTTCATTTCCTGCTGCTTGCGGCGGGTGTTACTGCCGGTGCACTGTTTGAGTCCACAGACCATGATGCCATCCAGTGAGTGGGAAGCTGAGTTGAAATGCTCAGCTACGGGAAAGCCAGGAGACTGGTTGCGAATACTACACAGGTGCTCACTGAAGCGTTCCCGTAGCCGCCTCCCAGTCTCACCGATGTAGGAACAGGTATAGCAGTGGCACGTGATGCAGTACACCACATTCACAGACTGACTGGTAAAGCGGTCACGGATGGTATATGCGTTCTTGGGCCTTGTAGATGTGATGATCTTGCACGGACTCAGCGAGGACAACGGCAGGTAAACGATCCGACATCAGTGTGTGCGATGTCTGCATAGTGCAAGAGAACATCCCTGAGGTTTCTGTCTCGACGATATGACACGAGAGAACTGAGGGAAAATCCTGCGTGTCACGGCTTCGGAGGACAAGATGTTAAAGTTGTCGAGCATGATACGGCTTGTGCCAGTGTTGAAGGGATGGTACGTCAGTACTAGCGGGACTCTATTATCTTTGGCACCGCTCAGACGTGGTGGTGGTGTTAGTGCCTCGTCGCGTGGAACGGTTGAGGTGGGGTCCCACGATAGGCTCTGGCCGTGGAATCGTCGTCGTCGGAACAGATTCGGCTGGAACTGGCTGTAGGGAATTGCCAGTTTACAGTGATCTATGGAGTGACGTGTGGTGGAAATAGTTACGCGTGTCAGTCCCCATCTGTAACCTGTTGTTGTTTATCCCCAGCTTGATATCGAGAAAAGGAAACGGTTGGAAGTTGGAGACGTAATTGATGAACCCCTCGATATCAAGGCGAGTGCACTGCGCAGCTCCGACTACGTCGTCGATGTAGCGCTTGTGCAGCTGGGAGACAAAGCAGGTGTATTACCCTGCAATACTACTTAAGGCCACATATATATTAACCTTCATTCGTATTCAACTTTTTTGGCGCTGCAAATCGCTAAATACTCACGCGACTATACCAAACAGGTCGCAATTCACTTCCTTGTAATTTTCACGGTAACGAAATGCACAGTCACTTTTCACCCCTTCTATCTTTCCTTTGTGCTCTAGATACCGTCACGGTGTTCTTCGGGCGTATTCTCTATAATGGACTCTACGGGGAGGCTCCGCCCGAAAGGGGTAGCTTTTTCAGGCTGGAAGAATATAAAAGGGTAAGGATTTCACGAGATGAAGTATAGAAAAGGGTAGGGAAAACTGTCAGTTAGGTGTTTAAAAGGACCTTTTAAAATATCTCGAACAGACGCACCTAATGGCTGATTCATCCAATATTTTAAGGGGCTACTCAAAAGGGTTACCTTTTCTGTCAAAAATGGTATAGAAAAGGTTAGGGTTTGGACCTCGGGCGGAGCCTCCCCGCTTTAAAACTTTGTTGAGTACCCTCCCCCCCCTCCCCCCCCCCCCCCCCAAAGGCCGATACATGAATATCATGTGTTACACTCAGAAAGAGGTACTAGTTCCCTTTAAAATCGCCGCATCCGTGGGTATCACTAAAACTACAATTTTTCGTGGCTTTGCCACTCGTATATTTTACCATCGCGCGCCACCAAAGTCGGCAGTTCCCATCCACTTTGCGTGACATATGTAATATGATCTCACATAAGAAAGTTGCTATTAACTTAGCATATTCTGATTTCGCTACACCGTTCTTGGCGGACTGAGAGGCAGCAGAAGCCAATTTGATTTTGAAAATGGCAACTTGTTTACGTAAAAGACCCCGATCTGCAAACTATAGTGGAAGATCATCATAGCAATCCGGTTAGATGGTAAGTACCAGCTAGTCTGACGTTGGAATTGTAACATTTCAGGCGCCTGCTAAATAACTTGAAGCTACTTGTCTTGACTGGACCAAAAAGTCCGTTGCAAAGCGAGCAGGATATTCTACCAGTGACTTTTAATAAGTGCTTATGTACTTCTATCTTTATACTCAGAATAATGTATTTTATTACTGTGAAGTTTGTCGGCTGAAATCGATTACATGTCGTCGCGTGCGAAATTTAATTTGAACTGGTAATCCACAAAGAAGGGAATCAGGCATATATTTACCACTGTCAACCGTTAGATTGATAAAAATCCAAGGTAAAGGGCACTTAGGATAAATACATGAGGTATTCGGAATATTTAAGGTACTTGTGGACTGCTAAAATACCATTCTTATTCGATTTATTTGCGTTTGGGCACCATCCATCCTAGCCGTGACCTTTGTACTTTTGTAGTAAACATTGTTGTACATAAGCTCTAAAAAACGTTCGCTCGCGTCCAACACAGGACGATACCCGCAGGTTTAACTTCAGAATCTGTGAGAATAAGGTTACATCTTTGCTTTAAAGGGCATTTTAGCCCTAGTTTTAGGTGCCACTTTTGAGATTTCGACTCTTGCTTTTAGTTAAATTTCGGTTCCTTTTTGACCAGCGACGCGGTAGGTTGTCTTTGATTTTGCCTGGTTTATCTAATTTTTTATCCAATCGTTACGAAATTTTGTTGCAAAGCACGTCAAATGTACCTAAATACTGTGGTATGGTTGATATTTAACTATACTTACCTGTGTTGAAGCAGCGCGGCTCAGAAAAAACGCAAATTTCGACTTCTGGATCGGCCTAAAATCCCACCTCGGACGACCGAAGACATTTCGGCGTGTAGCGAAAAATAAAAGCAAGAAATTTAACAAAATACCCCGGTTTTAACATTTACCTACCAAGTCCTTTTCGCCCACAAAATATAAAGGCTAACTTTTTTTCCGACCCGAAGTTGACCGGACCGCTCTTAGCGGGACTGCCTCTTAATATGGACGACTATACGCCCATGTTGACGCGAAAGCACTAGACCTCGTGGCTTATTGTGAGTCCTTAGTCTTACTGGTCAGTGGTATACAATACATAACACTGATTGTGCGGAACAGTTTCATTCGACAGCCACTTAATTTGACTGCTTAATAGAATTTCCACAGTGTATTGTTTTACATGCTGAAATCAGGCGCTCAATCTTAAATCTCACTTTTAAATGCCTGTTGCCTAGAAAATCTGAAACACTGGAGGACTTGAACAATACCCCTCACTTCATATGATATGATATCAGAATGAGAAAGATACTGCAGTATGCGGCACGTTTGTCACACTTGAACCTAGTTATATCAGCTACCACGACTCTCGAATCTGTGGTAGAGCGTCCGACCGGTCTTCGTAAGGTCACAGGTTCGACTCCTGTTGGGACAACTCAGAATTCAATTTTCCAAGTAGCTTGTGTCACTGACAGAATAATATATTTTTCAGTTAATTTATTGTGGACACCAGTTTAAAACGCCCAATTTATGTATTACAGAGAAACTGCGCTGAACCATCCTCTGCAGCTGAAAAGTAATTTCAACTGTACTAGTTATTTTATCATCAGCATAAGATCTGTTAACTTGACGAATATCACACAGAGACGTTGGGCATATAAGATAGAAAACCAAATGAGTCGCATCAATAGATCGCTCCTATCATTGTCACCATGGGTAGCTCAAATTTGTCAGCTTAATGTGTCATTTATTTACCATTACCTTCATCATTCGTTTGGTCTCTTGGTGTCGTCAAAGTATTCAACTTTTCGCTGATGATCCCTATGTCATTTTTCATCTGCTCAAAGTCTCTCTTTGTCTTATCTGAGAATGTAACGTTTATTGGCTTTGAGTTAGTTCAAGCTTAGTCAAGTCAGCCAGTCTCCAGATTATTATGGAGAAGACGAGGCACTTAAAGGGGCAGTGTCACCAATATTTAGTACTACTTAAACATCTTAGCAAAAGCGTTTGTATCAGGGGGGTAGCTACTTCCCATACATTCTCTTAAATCAAATCCAAACCATGCTCTCACAACTTGCAAAGCAATCATCACAACTTTAGCCAGCGGATTCATAATCTGCACGTGCGTAGAAGTTGTGTAAAGCCAGAAGGAAAGCTATAAAAGAAAAACATGGCGGCCGATGAGGCGATGGAAGTGCGTACTGATGTATGAATGATTATTGTATTTTTTTCACTTTGTGATCCTTTAAACCAGATAAACTTCTTCCTCAAGTTTTTTAAGACGCAACCACGACCGCGACGACAACAAGAACGTCACAAAACAATAGGTTTAATTAGTAATACAATATTCTGCACGTGTGTTTTGCATATTTCTTTGCCGTCCCATGCAAAACAAAACGCACGTGCGTTTTGCATTTACATTTCTTTGCCTTCGTATGCAAAACAAAACAAAAACAAATGTCCAAATTCACGGTATTATGGAGAACGTCAACACGCGAAGGTTAATTTTCCTTTTCTGTCCTGGACTTGAACTCACGAATTCAGTTCGGCCACATTGGACAAATTGAACGTGTTGGAATAATCTCGAAATAGTTTATAGGAACGTTAATTAATTTTTTAAAGGAATTTTGGGCGCGAAAAGAAGCCTTAAGAAAACACCGCTGACCAAAACGAAATTGATCGCTTTGCAAGTTGTGAGAGCATGGTTATCGGTCCCAGGCCCTGTCTCTATCCCCCCCCCCCCCCCCCCCCTTGGTTTGTATCAATGGAAATCAACTAATAGTGACCTGGTCTTGCTAAGAGTTACTTATTCTAGTACAGAAAAACTGTTAAAACATTTATTTGACTAGGGACGGGTAGAAGGAAGTGGAATGAAACTTGAAAACGTCGGGCCGACGTTCTCAAGTTTTATGGTGTTCTTGGGAAAAATAGCTCAAAATCAATGATTCTGGTTTGTTCCCACCTCAGGAGAATGAATTGATGTATTTATACTGTTGTTCAGGAGCCATTTTGTGCATCACCGAGTGTACCTTCATAATTTAAGAGTAGTTTACACAAAAAGTTGGGAGAATTCTCGTGATACTGCCCCTTTAAGCATAGGTAGCGAAGGTTGCACCCAAGCAGTGAGCATAGTGGAGAAGAAAAGCAAGGAATCATCTCTGTATCACTGAATACCAAGAAGTGAAGGAAGTAATAAACGTTCTAAGATCTAACCTTCATCTTGGCTTGCCTCTCTTGGTTCCGTCAAAGACGTCAAAGTGTCCAACTTTTCACCAACAGTTTCCATTTGACTTTCTATCTGCTCGAGTTTTTCCTTTATGTTTTCTGCGGAACAAAAACGTATACTCCTCTTAGAGATTTCACTTTTAGATGAATGCAAAAATGTAACGTATAAGTATGAAATATTCGGACGCTGAAGAGGAATAAAGAGGAATAATGGAATAAGAAATACGAAAATTTAAGCAGTGGAATAATGGAATAATAGCCTTGGTTTTTCGGGAAAACGGAATAACGACATTTCCCTTGGAATAATCATTGACAGTAACATTTTCCTGGAATAATGTAATTTTGGATTTGAGTAAGGGGTCAAATAAAGCATTTAGTGCATTCGAAAGAACATTTGTGACCATACCGCCCCGTCAAGGTACTGTCATGTCATGATATCCGCGTGAAGCCCGCGAGTGGGTCACAATCCGCTGGAGATCGCTGGAGATCTGGATCGAATGTGCAATACTCCAGTTTCGTATTCCTCGCTCCTTTTACGAAACCGCTGGATACACGTGAAGCGGGCGCGATGTTTGCATCAGGACGAGGCTAGCCATGTATTCGCTCACAAGCGCTTGTGTTTACAAGGCCCGCTTCACATGTTTCAACTGCACTGAAAAGCGAAAAATCCAAGGGAATGGATCAAGAGAAAGGCAGACAAAGTAAGAGAAGAAGCAAAGAAGCCGTGGAAAACAGTATGCAACAGCTGAGTACAATGGTATGTATGACGTGTATCCAGCGGTTTCGTAAAAGGAGCGGGAATACTATACTGGAGTATTTGGGAACGCTATGCGCAAGATTAGTTCAGATAGCTGTCAACAAAAACTGGATATCAAGCTTATTTTGACCGAAATAATGAGATTTTTTCAAACGGAATAATTCGTTTTTCTTAACTGGAAGCAATAGACATTTTAGAGCAGGCTACCTTCCATGTCGCTGAGTTTGTCCCTGATGCTATCTTCGTCTTCCTTCCATTGCTTTAGCAACTCTTTGTAGTGCTTCTCAATGTCAGGATCCATGCATTCATTCCTGAGTTTATTGATAGCGACTCCATAACTTGCTCCTCCCAGTCCTACCATGGCGTTACTGATATCCTGCCAATAGGTGTTAAACGTTGCATCGTCGACAGAGGCCTGGCTGGCGTGACCATATACAGTATTCCTGAAATACTTCACTCTGGCAATGTTAGCTTCGATGCTAGCATCTGCAGCATGAGGAAGACTGTCCCAGCCAGTGGGAGGAGGGGTCAAACCACATATGTTTCCTCATCAACACAATCAACAGTGTGATATCGAAGTTCGCTGATGACACACATGAAGTGATAGTGGGATACAGCTTTCCCCATTGTGTCGGATTAAGGATTTTCTTCTTCCTAAGGGATTGCAGAGTAAGGTGTACTGGGTGACGTCCCAAAACTGTATGGAGAGTCGCTGGAGGATGTATTTTATCAAAGGTGTCTCTCAGAGCCTGGGATCCTACATCCACCAGAAGACGACACAGCCGGGCATAGTTTCTTGTCTCCTTGGTGGACGAAAATGGCAATGGAACAGAAGCCATGAAATGGTGACCAGATTAACCTGTCAAAAGGTTCATTCCGGCTTGTTAATCAGGCGAGTTAATCAGCCTTGCAGTAAATATATATTATATAGTGCATTTAGTAGCATTGAGTTTAATCTCGATGTCCCAAATCCCTATCCTGGCTTTGATTTTACTTTATGCCACCCCCTGGGTTTGGTTTTCCAACCCTCCCCCTCCCCCTCCCCCTCCTGGTAATTATTGCACAGTCCCTAAATACCTTTCCTATCAAGAAAATACAGCTGTATCTGAGTCTCCAGTAAGGCGATTTATATCCTTAAAAAGAACCACAAGCAAGAGATTGTTGAGAAATGTTAATGATGTCAACGCGTTCAATTTCTGGATAACGTGACAAGTGCATGACAACTCCAAAGCCGGTAAATTATGCAAATTAAACGGCTGAATTTTGCTTAATTTGTGATAATTAATGTATATCACAACATATACCGTGTGGAAGTTTCCACATACGTACTAACCCTAACCTAACTAGAGCAAGGTTTTCCTTTTAACACACAAAGCACTAAATTAGAGGGTTGTGAACACCTATACTGGCGTTATTAAAAGGGAATAGATTCCTGTTCCCCTACAGTTTCTGTCACTTGAGACAAGTTGATTCGCGGAAAAATGGCAGTTTCAGTTGATTCTCGATTTCCTCGTTTGCTGTGGAAATATTTTTGCCTCCGCTTCGCTTATGCGCTCCACCAGAATCACTGATAATCTCATGTTAATCTGTGATTACTCATCTACCACAGCTAACACGAAGTTTATGGTCAGAATAGGGGATCAGCTATTTACCGAGTTACGAGTTGAGTTGAGTTTGAGTTGAGTTTGAGTTGAGTTTGAGTTAAGATTGAGTTAAGATTGAGTTAAGTTTGAGTTAAGTTTGAGTTACTGTTTTCTGTATATTTTTTATTAAAAAAGTGTTAAATTACAGCAAGGAGCCCAAAAATGTGACCACTTTTAATTAATTCATATTCTTTCGTGCAGATTGTCCGATCAGAAGCCGAGGATAGCTTCCACAAAACAACTTTTAATTATACATCACATTCGGCTTTCGCGATCTTTCGGTGAATTTTGAGGCGCTTGAAATGTCAACCTTTGAATGTTTGGCTTTGAAATTAGTACGCTACACTAATTTCACAACTCCGAAATGCGAAATACTGATCGAAATATAAAACAAATAAAACAATGATCAACATTCGGTGCGATGTCTTCGCAACCCAAAAGCCCGACAGTAAAAAATGCTGGCCGTAGGAATTACGGAATTACATGTACCTTATTCTCACTTATTTTCGCGAGTATTAATTTTCGCGGTTTTCGCGATGTAGCAAAAAACGCGAAAATAAAGACGATATTTTCGTAAAATTTTAAAGCCTTTGAGCCCTTTTATCTCTGAAATCGCGAAATTAAAGCCTCGCGAAAATTAGTAAGAATAAGGTACACAATGTACAGTACGGTTATTGTACCCAGATAATCGACAGAAAATTATTATAATTTTAGCTGTTGTGCGGATGTCGATTACCCGATTTCAAATACCGCCCAAACTTTTCGGAAACGGCTAGCCATGGGGGCTTGCTCGCAGGCTATTCACAGATGGT